TACTGGAGATCCCTCTAATGTCATTCCAGTTGACGATGTTTAGGTTACAGAGCAACTATTATATGAGGAAGCTCTCATTGCTATACTAGATAGACAAGTTTGGAGATTAAGAACAAAGGATGTAGCTTCGGTTAAAGTACTTTGGATTAACAATAATGTGGAAGAGATGACTTGGGAAGCTGAAGAAGAAATGAAGACTAGGTATCCTCACTTGTTTCCACTTCCGGAGGAGGATCAGACTGAGACATCACAACCTTTAGGTACGTATATGGTACTTGATTCTTATGTTAGTTATTGTTATTGGTCGTGTGAGGCCATTGGTGTTATTGATAATTGTGGCCCTGTGTGGATTTGTATTGTTGGGTTTACTATATGACAGGTTGGTAGTAGTACCGTTACAGAGGAGACTCTGCCAAAATTTCTATAGATTTCTGGGAGTTTAACATTCGAGGACGAATATTTCTAAGGGGGGAAGATTGTTACACCCTGTGCGTCTCAAGGTGACGTAATGAATATGAGACTTTTTAATCATAATTTAAATGATTTTAAAGTCATAATATGGCTATATATGATGTTTGGATAGAAAATATGAAGTTTGAAAAAAATCAGATTAAAGTTGCGGAAAAACCGACTAAGGATTTGCCTTGTAACACAGCTTTTTGAGAAATAAATTTTGTATGTATATGAGGTCTTTTTGGGACATATTATATACCAAATTGAAGGTCTTGGAATGTAGTTTCTAACTCTCTTAACCGTTCATTCATACGACACCCAGATAAAAAAGTTATAAGCATTGGAAGAAGGGCCAATCATAGGGTGCCAAGTAGCACCCTTTTGACTTTTTAAAAAAATGGGATATTTACATCCCATCTCGTCTCTTTCTCCATTTTTCAAGAGAACACACCCAAATAACACCTCTAACTTTGCTCTTAATCTCTCTGCAAGAGTTTCAAACAAGATTATCATCCTGGGCACGGAATCAAGAAGCGATAACATTAAAACGATCCCTACGACGTAAGTATCGCTATATCGCCTTTCTTTTTCTTTGTAGTTTGAGTTTTGGAAGTTACTTCATAGTTAATAAAACGTGTACTTTCTGTATTTAAGTGTTTAAATATCAAGAAATATTGATAAATTTATTTTCTAATAGTTAGAACTCACGGAACGGTGATCGGAAGCCGTGAGTTCGAGTTATTTGACTTCTAGCGAACTATTTTATGGGCTGTTTCGTGTTGCCTTTGGGCTGTATAATTTGCTACTGTTTAATAGAGTTTTGGAGGACAAATGATATGGATAAACACCACATAATGATGTAATGGTGGGCTGATCGTTTGTCGTTACATTCTTTTTGGTTGTTTGACACTACTTTGGTTGTCGTTTTATGTATGAAGTGATTAGGGTGTGTGGGATGTTTTGTGGTATATTGTGATGGAGATAAGGTTGGAAAATGATGCTTACATGTTGTTATTGTTGTGTTCTTGTTGTTATTGGTATATGGTATTGGAGGAGGGCCTAGTTACGGGGGAGATGCTGCCCAAATTTACGTAAACGAGCTACTAGTTTAAGTTACGGACTTAGCTTTTACTCAGCACTGATTTTGAATCTCCTTATGATATGGTAGATTGGGTTGAGTTGTTTGAAGAATTTCTTGGAAGGTATTAAGGACTCAACCGATTTAAGGTATGTTAAGGCCATCCCTCCTTTCCTTTTGGCATGATCCGTACGATACAAACGAAACGAGCAAATACGTAACTTTCATAAATGACTCTATTCATAGAAATACTAGGGATTTCTATATTCTTGATTCCCCATGTGTCTTATTATTCTATCATCTGTTCATGGGTTTCAAAAAAATACGCAAGTTGATAAAGTTTATTTCATGATATTAATCAAAGGCATAGTGATCTTATGACATTTTGAGAAATCTTATTAACGTACTTCTTATGCATTTCATTCATGTATACATGTACATTGACCAATGACCATATGGAGTTATATACGCGTATATTATATGTATATGGGATATGAGAAAAGGTTATGGCGTTATATACTCACCACCACCTGATCAACTGGTATACGTTGATGATTTTGCCCACAGTGGCTGAGATGATATGGTGGGATGTCCTCAGAGGCTTGATGATGTTATGTACGCATATACCTATGCATGGTATGGCATTTATACGCACATGCATGCCATTATAAATTTTCATGATTCACAGAGCTATTCAGAATTACAGGTTGAGTTCTTTACTCCATGTTTCTTTCATGTCTTTTATATACTAGTGTCATGCCTTACATACTTGGTACTTTATTTGTACTGACATCCCTTTTGCCTGGAGACACTGCGTTTCATGCCCGCAGGTCCCGATAGACCGGTTGAGAGTTCTCCTAGTAGGCTATCAGATAAGCAGAAGGTGTTTGTGCACTCTACTTGCTCCGGAGTTGCATATTTGGTCAGTATGATTTGAATATGTATTAATTGGTATGGCGGGGCCCTGTCCCGACCTTTATGGTATTTATGTACTCTTAGAGGCTTGTAGACAGATGTCATGTATACGGATACTGGTATGGCNATGTATTGATTGGTATGGCGGGGCCCTGTCCCGAACTTTATGATATTTATGTGCTCTTAGAGGCTTGTAGACAGATGTCATGTATACGGATACTGGTATGGCCTTGTCGGCCTATGTTTTGAGTATATTAAGATCATGCCGGCCTTATAGGCCAGTACGTCATATGTATAAGTCGGTATATCAAGTTGGGTCACCCTATATTGAGTATTTCCTCATGTTTTATTCTACTTATCTCACGACAGCCTCTCCGGCTCATTTATCTATGATAGTATGATACGAAAGATACGTTACATTGGTACTCGATTGAGTACGGTACCGGGTGCCCGTCGCGGTCTATTGGTTTGGGTCGTGACACTTATATAGTCATTGAATAACTTTTTTGTTTCTATTATCCAATGTTTAGTATTTTTACATTGTTAATAGAAAATTTTATTAGCAAATTACTTTGTTTAATATTTTTGTCTGCTTGCATTCTTTTTGTAATATAAGAGAAGATATATATTTTATTAAATAATTTTTATTTTAAATTTTATTATGTTGTTGTCAATAATATTATTATAAAATATTTTATTTTATTATTTTATAGATATTTAAAGTCAAAAATAATAACCAATAACTAATTATTAACTAAATAGCTAATTATTAACTACTTATGCCATGTGGCTTTTTTCTAAGTTGTCACTTGTCTTAATAAGAGGGCTTTTTCCTCTCATTTTAATAATAGATAGATTAAAAACTCCAACTTGAAACTACTCTCGAATTTGAATGCAAAGTTTTTTTTTTAATTTTTATTTTTTTTATAAAATAACTTATCTTATTATTTTATAGATATTTAAATTCAAAAATAATAACCAATAACTAATTATTAACTACTTATGCCATGTTACTTTTTACTAGGCTGACACTTGGCTTAAGGAGAGTGCTTTTTTCTCTCATTTTAATAATATATTACAATATATAATATATAATATATAGATTTAGATATAGATATAGTATTTTTACATTGTTAATACAAAATTTTATTAGCATATGACTTTGTTTAATATTAGAAATTTTATTCTAATGTTCTCAATAATATTATCTGAATTTTAATGAATAAAATCTCTATTAACATAAAGAGACTTGTATACTCATTGAATAACTTTTTTGTTCTATATTTTTCTTTATAATGCTTATTCAATATTTAGTATTTTTACATTGTTAATAAAATTTTTTATTAGCATATTAATTTGTTTAATATTATTGTCTTCTACTTTATTTTTATAATATAATAGAAGATATATTTTTTATTTTTTTTATTTTAGTTTTTATTTCACAATAATTTAAAAACTCTAACTTGAGACTACTCTCCAATTTGAATGCACATGTATTATTTTTTAATTTTTAATTTTTATTATAAAATATTTTATTTTATTATTTTGTAAACATTTAAATTCAAAAATAATAACCAATAACTAATTATTAACTACTTATGCCATGTGGCTTTTTTCTAGGTTGTCACTTGGCTTTAAGGAGATGGCTTTTCCTCTCCTTTTAATAATAGATAGATGTTTGTTTAAATTTTATTATATCGTATCGTTAAATCCATCGTTTCGTAACGACGAAAAGTGCCACTTTATGGAACGACAGATTTGGTGTGGTGACGTCGTTTCCTTGCTTTTTTCTCTCATCTTGCCCTTCCTTATTATTAAATAATCACATTTTATCATTTACCCTACTTTTTTATATAATAATTCTACCCTATATCCTATTTTTTCTTAATAATGTTGCAAGTTTATTCTTCATATTGTTGTTACGTAACATTATGAAATGATGGCAAACAATACAATCTATCCCAACGTTGTATTAATCAAACAATACATTATGAAACGATAGGTAACAACAATCCAAACAAACTGTAAAAAGGCCGAGGTTAAATTTGTTCATCTCTTTGTTTATAATTCTTTTAAGCTCAAATAAGATTTAAGTAAATAGATAACAGTTATATTTCCATAAAAGTATATTGCCCAAACTCTAGAAATAGGACACTCCCAATTTCTCCATTTACTAAAAATACAATTTTCGAATCTCTAAAGCATACTTAAAAGATTACTAAAACGAACTATAGAGCACACTAGGGTTATCTCTAACACAATATCATAAGACATCCAACTACAAATTGAATACAAAGACTAAACCTTCCTTATTTGAAACAGGTGCAGAGAGTCTAATATGGTTTGATACTTAAAAGTTCAAAGCATGAATACAAAGAATTTACCTCTCCACGATACAAAATATCTACACTTTACTCTCTGTCATACTTTAAGCTCATTCATACCCCTTGCTGTTAACAAAGCGTCTCGTATTTGTCCTTGCTTTAACATAAACTCCAACATGAAATGTATGGATAACAAACGTATGAATGATCCAAAAGCATAACAGAGATTATAATTAACATATTTCGTTTTGCGGAGGGGATATAATTCACCATTTCCCCAATGATAAAATAGCTGAAGGAACCATGTACTCGGAATTCCACATATAGAGTACGTTCACAGACGACTCAGGCACATTTAATGGACGAACTCGATATATAATAGGCAACACAGAGAAAAAGTTGACAAGTTGTTACACCCACTTCACTAAAATGATCACTTATACTTCATTCGACTATGTCTATATAAATCCAAGGGGTCGTTTGGTTTGAACTACTAAGAACTGATCTGTCGAAGAAAAACAATATTCAGTAAAGAGATGTCATTTGCAACATCGTTTAGTTTCAAGTGCTAAAATTCCAACCTACACAAAGGGGTGGGTGCTATGTTTTCAGAGATACTCCATTTAATCGAACTTAAATGAATAGAACAAAAGATTACTGTTTCTCCACCTCTTTCTGCTTGATTCCATCAATGCTTTCTAATGGAGGCAGAGTCTGCAATTCAACAATAGAACACAATGTTACAAACATAAGACAGCAGTCTAATCCAAGAGGAAGAGGAACAACTAGTAGGGAGCAGAGAGAGACATTATGAGCTTGTACGATAGGTGGTCAATTGATAAGGCAGCCTAGTGCTCTAAGCTCCCGTTATGCGCGAGGTCCAGGGAAGGGCCGAACCACAAGGGTCTGTTGTACGCAGCCTTACCCTGCATTTCTGCAAGAGGCTATTTTCACGGCTCGAACCCGTGGAAATGAACTTGCAGAAGAACACAACTAATATAATGAACTCCTAGAAGAATACAAGTAACTAATACCAAGATCTTTAATATAACAATCTCAATCCATCTTACACTAGAATGTTATGTGCCCATGAAAGCCTTCCACAAAGACCACAACCTTCAACATAATTAAAAGAATTTCAAATAACAAGATATACTTAGGACATTGTTTTTAGCCATCATCATCTCAACTAAACTCTTGCCTAATATAAGGGAGGTTTTGCCAATTAACCAGGAAGTACTCCCTAAGTCTTTGGTCATTGCTATAGGATGTGTTAGGAAAAATATTAAGTAGCTTCATTTATTGAAATCATTCATTTATGATCTACCCTCCACTTCCAACCAAGAGGTTGTGAGTTCGAGTCACTCCAAGAGCAAGGTGGGGAGTTCTTGGAGGGAGGGAGCCAGGGTTCTATCGGAAACAGCCTCTCTACCCCAGGGTAGGGGTAAGGTCTGCGTACACATTACCCTCCCCAGACCCCACTAGTGGTATTATACTGGGTTGTTGTTGTTATTCTTTTATGATCTAATAACTGAAAGAGGCCACCATATTCATTATGCTTCAGATTCATGATTAGCCATTCTACTAAAGTTTCAAAGAAGACATGTAGTAATATACATTTTCTGCTTTTGTCATAGCTAAAACTTACAATCCAAATAGTTAAAAGAGAAATTTAGAACAAAATAATGCAAAGTCAACAAAGAAGGGAATATGTACATTTGAGTCTCATGTTTATAGATTTCTGCATCGATATTCCCTGTAATAATCTTCCTCATATTTGCAGACCCCAACCCAACCCCAAAATCAGATCTTCTTCTTCCACTTAGAAGGATACTTCTAAAAACTAAAAATACAAAAATAGCAAGATAACGATTTCTACTTATCAAAAAAATGGCAAGTAATGACTTCTAATCCCTGAATGAGTAAAAATACATATAGAAGGAAGAAATAACTTGTTATTACTATTTTCTTAAAACAGTTTTTTAGTTTATGTAACTTTTTAAATAGGACAGCAACACAGTAAGATATTTTCACTTATTTTAGCTTTTTGGGTTCAACAATTTCACATCATATTATACCAAAAAATTCATCCTTTCACCACGAGTTGGGAGGAAATAAGGGATGAAAGGATGTTATGATAAAGTTTTCAATAAGTCTGTATATGAATAAATGTAAAAAGTTTAGTTTGTAAAAACTTAAGGTTCTGTCAAATCTTTACGTTCTTGCAGGAATTCCAGAAAACATTTTAGCTTGTTTCAATTCAGAACTTGCAGACCATTGTTTAATGTATTAAACAACCTTCTTATGTTTTGAAAGTCTAATCACTTTATGCATCTGTATAAAGAATTGAATTATATTATCAAACATGATTTCCATTAAGTACTTCTGGTGTTTGATGATTAATGTATTAAAAGAATATTCAGATAAGATGGAACAACAACCAACAAATAAAGCAGATTCGAGGAGAACCCAGCTAACCGGAATTTTCTAAGGTCAATGCATATTTACAACATAAAACAGCGTAAGATCAATGTAACTAGAATTATTTGACTAAATATCAAAACAAAAATAAGTGTTCTATTAAAGAAATTATTCAGATGCTAATACCCTATTTTTTCATGACGGTGATGTTTAGGCCAGCTTATACAGTAAGAATCTACGGAGTTGTTTTGATTTTTATGGGCAGTAAACTCAAGGAACTAAGTAAGCTCTTACAAAGAGTGAGATCAAATCCACTATTTTGTTCTAAATATCATATTGGTAATGAAACAAAGTTATTTCGTACAGTCATGCCAACTGCATTGTCACTAAGATATGCTCTCATTCTGGTTCTACAATTTGCAACACGGGATAGAATAAGTGATGTTTTGATTTGGAAAAAGTGTCACAAAAAAATCATCATACGACTTGTATTAGAGGATACTTTCCTTGTGGTTCATTACCAAGGTTCAATAATTGCATATAAGGTTGGATATCTTTATAAGCTTCAAATCTAAAACTAGGTCATTTCTTCCAATCTACCTAAGCTTTGGTTGGTAGACGTACCTGGTACCTGTGTAGGTGGGAGGTAGCAGGTACCCAGTGGAATAATTGAGGTGCGCGCCAGTTGATCCGGACAACACCATTATAAAAAAAAAGGTTCCATATCTTTATAATGCTGATTACAATGTCAATATCAATTTTTTTCATCCTTCAAGCCAATGCTAGCTGATATTCCAACATAGAGAAACTTTTGTTCTGGGACATCATATACCCAAAAAAATCTTCAACATTTTGTTGACTTACGAAAGAGGTTAGGGTGGCTGCATCTAGTGATGCAACATGCGTATTAGTACTTAACATTTCCCAACTGGCACCATTCATTAGATCAACACAAATTTAAAGGGGCATTATATCAGCCAGGTAAAAGACACAGGAGAAAGGCCACAGAGTTTCCTCACTTGCTAGATAACATAACCAATTAATACACCTAAATTTCAAGTAAAAGAGATATCTTTCATAATGCAGACTACAGTGTAACATCCTTCAATTACATTGTAATTACAGTCCACCAGAGAAGAACTTTATGTACTCAAAACATCATATACAATAAAGTTTTCAACTTTATAGCTACTTATAATTCAGAGATGGCATAAATTGTCTTAAACCGCCACTGTTTATTACATATCCACAATTTCAATGGGGCATTCTTTCAAACAGGTAAATGAAATAGGAGAAAGGCCACACTATGCGCCCTTGCTAAGTAAACATATCAAATAACACAACTAATCTCCTAATACTAATGTTATTTGAAGCATGACACAACAATTAAACAAACTAGCTACTGCATAAGCACCAAAATTTTCACTTACTATGTCTCAATTCCAAACTAGTTAAGTCAGCTATACACAGAGCTGGATGGTGCGTATATACTAAGGGTTTACCTGAACTCGCTATTTTCAACACGAATGTACATATGTAGTAAAAGATCAATAAAATTTCAACAAATATTAAATTTTGAACCCATAATTACAAGTAATTCATTGCTAAGCATCTTAAAGGTTGAATTAATCAAGTTTAAATTCTCGATCCGACTCTGGGCCTATATAAATACACACTATTCATTCCGCTCCATTTAGGCCCATGTAATTTCACTCCAATATAACTTTATTTTTTTTGTTTTGGACAAATTAGAGGTTTCTAAATGTAAAGAGAAAATGGGAAGGGGGAATTACCAGATCAGGTTTGAAAAAGTTGTGAACAACGGAGGCACCAGCAAGGAGGGAAACAACGACAACAGCAGTAGACCAAGCCATTGATGGAGTTCCTGTTGGCTGCTTTCCTCCTCCGAATCTTCGGTTCATTTTTTTTTTCTTTTTTTGCCTTTATTATCAAGTTTTCCAGTTAAATACGACGAAGATGAAGGTAGGAGAAAAACAAATATGGAGAGAGGCAAATACGGAGTGGAACAAAGAAGACGAAGAATTAAGCAAACGTTTCTACCAAGCCATGGACGGAGTTGAGAGTTCTCTCATCTTGGCAGAAATGACACTAAAGGGCTATTATTTAAAAATTTGCCCCTATTTAAGAATTAGCCAATTCAATTTCAATTAAAAATGTGCTGAAGTTCAAATTTTTAGTTTAGAACTTCAAAATAAAATAATTATTGGTTAATATCTCGAGCCCGTTTGGACATAATAAATTTTTTCTTTTTTTCAAATTTTTTTATTTTTTTTTAAAATCGGCGTTTGTTCATAAAATTTCCAATTTTCACTTGAACATGCATTTTGTAATTTTTTGAAATTTTGAAAAACTCCAAAAAACTATTTTTTAAAATTTTCACTCAGATTACTCGCAAAACTTAAAAAAAAACCCCAAATTATATTCATGTCTAAACATAACTCTAATTTTCAAATACTATTTTCACTTAAAAAAAAAATTTCACTTTTTTTTTGAAATTTTACTATTCTTATGTCCAAACGCCCACTAAATATCGTCTTATCTGTGCACTTACCCCTCCTCTTGTGTGTAGAAGTGAAGCCTTGAGCCCAACACAACTCTGTAAGCCCATTTAGCCCACTATATTAGTATCATTTGTACTCGGGCTTGTCCATTATTATGCTTCAGATACTTATTGCCGGTATATTTGATGGGAAAATAACACAATTGATATTTCTATGCCACTATTGATTTTCTGATTTCAGTAACAGAAGTTTTGGGGGGAAAATTCAAATAATGCTTAAATTTTAAAGCACTTAGCATTTATGATGATCGTCAGAATTTTGGTATAAAATCCTAACAAATCACAAGAATTTCTTAACATTATAGCTTAAGTTCTAGTTAGGGGTGTTCGCCAAAAACCAAAAAATCGAACCAAACCGAAAACCAAATNATTCTCTTTCACCCCTTCACAACAAAACATACGCAGCTTCCATGCCAAACAAAATTCTCTCCTCTTTCTCTCTAAAATTCTTGATAGCTACCGATGGCAACCACAATTATGAGAAATGAGCAGGTTTTTGTCTTTCTTTTTGGTCTTAACCCCAACTAGTTATCTTTTTTTAATGGATAATTTGAAAATAATTTACATAAAATTGTAAAGTATTTTTGTATCTCTTATGTAGTTCTTTTTGTTCTTGACCATTATTTGCATGTTTCGTCTCTATTAGCAGATGGATTCAGAAGCCGAGGTTCAGGAAATTCCTCAACTTGAAGGCAACAATACTCCAGTTATTGATTAAAGTGTTCCTACTCCTCCTAAAAAGCATAAAAGAGCAGCACCTTCTGAAAATGATTTTGGCCTTAGGAAACATTAGACATTTGGAAATACTTTTCCAATTTTTTTGATAAAGATAGTAAGCATAAGTCAAAATGTAGTTTCTGTACTAAAACTTTTGCTTCCGATACTAAGAAAAATGGAACTACTACATTATGGAACCATTTGAATATTGTTTGTAAGAAATCCCCTTTTAGATTTATTGACAGAACACAGACGACACTTAGATCTTACCCAATTAAAGGAAGCGGACAAGAAGGTAGTGTTGGTACTTGTAAACTCGAAAGAGTTGTGTATAATGTCAATGAAGTAAGAAGGGCTATTGCTGAATTTGTGATCATTGATGAACAACCATTTAAAGTCATCGATGGGGAAGGTTTTAAAAGATTAATGTCAATTGTTGTGCCTAATTTTGTGTTACCCACTCGTTTGACTATTGCTAGGCAATGTTTAAAAATTTATCACGAGGAAAAAGAAAAGCTTAAAAAACATATTCAAAATCAACATGTATGTCTCACTAGTGGTACGTGGACATCGCTCCAAAACCTAACTTACATGGTTATAACTGCCTACTGGATTGATGATAATTGGAACTTGCAAAAAAAAATTCTGAACTTTTTTCAAGTTCCAGATCATAAGGGTGAAACAATTGCAAAGGGTATTGAGGTTTGCTTGTTAGATTGGGGAATTGAAAATCTATTCACTGTAACCCTAGATAATGCAACTGCTAATGATGCAGCAATTAGACACTTGAAAGGGAGGATTGAGGATTGGAAAGGAATCGTCTTGGGAAATGACTTTCTACATGTTAGATGTAATGCTCACATTTTGAATTTAATTGTAAAAGAAGGGTTAAGTGATCATATTGAGTCTATTTCTCGGGTCAAAAATTCTGTGAAGTATGTTAAGTCCTCTTCTGCAAGATTAGCTTCCTTTAAATCAATTGTTGAAAAGGTAAAGATTGATAGCTATGGCCTTTTGAGTTTAGATGTTGAAACCAGATGGAACTCAACTTATATGATGTTAAGTACAACTATAAAATTTGAGAAGGCCTTTTCAAGAATGTATATTGATGATCACAAGTACCAAAAGTATTATCTAGATATAATTGGAAAAGCAGCGTACCCAAGTGGGGATGATTGGAAGAAGGTAAATGTTTTTACAAAATTTCTTGACATTTTCTACCAGATTACTTTGAAATTTTCAGGAACTTTATATGTTACTTCAAATTCTTTCTTCCATGAGCTTTTTTATCTTCTTAACTTTATTGTCAAAAATTCTCAAGGTGATGATCAAGTTCTGATTGATATGGTTGTTAAGATGAAACTCAAGTTTGATAAATATTGGGGTGACTTTGATAATATGAATATATTATTATTTGTCGCTGTTGTGTTGGATCCTCGGTATAAGATAAGGTATGTGAAGTTCATTTTTGCTAAATCTTATGGTTCTGTAGCGCGAGATTTGAGATCAAACAAAGTGACAGATACTCTATCTCGCTTGTATAATTGCTATAAAGATTCTTCTACTGAAAATTCTGATGAGATTTTGGGAGGTCAAGTTAGTACGATAAGTGAAGGTGATACTGGAGAGATATGGAAATCACAATGGGAAAAATATTTGCAAGAACAAGATAATGAAGGAAGTAAGACTAATCTTGAGAGGTATTTGATAGATGATTTGGAGTTGGCCAAAGATTTTAATATTTTGTCTTGGTGGAAAGATGCAAGTAAAAGGTATCCAATTGTTTCTAGGATTGCAAGAGATGTTCTTGCAATCCATGTTTCTACTGTTGCATCTGAATCGGCTTTTAGTACTAGTGGGAGGATTCTTGATTCATATCGAAGTTCTTTATCACCAAAGAGGGTAGAAGCTCTAATTTGCACTCAACAATGGCTCAGGTCAACTCCCAAAGAATGCAACATTGAAGATATTTTAGAAAAAATCCAAAAACTTGAAATAGTTGAAAAAGGTAATTTTATACATTTAACTCATTATGAATATATTTATATTTGTGAATTACTTAATGCTTAATATTTTTATTTTTTTTATCTTTCAGAATATCCCGATAATGTTTGAGCATTGATTAGATCGGATGATGGAACTGGTTTCAACCATATTCTTGTTGCTTGGAATTTGGATATATTTTTTGATGTGGATGATTTACTTTACCATATGAAAAACTATTTTACAATATCATATTATAATTTAATTATTGTAATATAAACTTTGTGACTTTGCAATCATCAGTTAACTTTCTAAAATTGGGGTGATAAAATAGCATTAATGTGTGTCTTTGGTGATTAGCTCCATCTTCAACTACAAGTTTGCATTTCTTTTTTCACGAGGGATTGTAGATGTGTATTTATTTGTGTAATGAAGTTTTAAGTGCACAAGTCTGAGTAGTGAGTGATATAGAAATTGGACATGCTTGTCTAATTTTTCTATGTGGCTAGAAAGGTCATATAACTTCTCTGTTTTAGCTGTACTCTTTGGCTAGAGTTCTAAAGGAGCCAAAAATTTATTATGTGTTTTTTGTGTAAAGTTGGGACATCTTGTTTCTTTATCCAGTCATTTTATTATTGAGTTTCTCATTACTAATCATTCAACCGAAAACAAACCCCTTTCCAAAAGGAATCATAAAGGCCACAACTCATGTATTCTTAAAAAAAATCGAAAAAATCGAAAAACCAAAAAAAACCCGACAAAAACCGAAATCTATTAATTTGGTTTGGTTTGGTTCAACAATTTGAATAACCGACATATTTGGTTTGGTTTTTTTTAAGGTAAAAACCGACCCAAACCGAACCATGAACACCCCTAGTTCTAGTGATGGCCAGAATTTTGTGGCAAAATCCTAACAATCACCATAATTATTGCGTGCTTTAGAATTTTACCCAAAATTGCTTCAAAATTCTGGTGATCGAGAAAAATACTGTCCAGCTTCCCGAAATATTTGTTAACGGGATTCAAATTACAAATAGTGGTTTAAATAAGATCCATCTAACATTATTTCTAGATATTTCATTGACAGAGTAGTTCAACGAGTCAGCATATAAAAAAGGGAGAGATCTTTGCAAATATGTTAAGGCGATTCATTATTTTTTCAGAAATAAAGAGTATTGTGTTTAGTACAAAGGAAAATAATTTCTCGAAAAATATTTTTCTATAAAATAACAAATTTTCATACTTACTTTTCATTAATTGTTTGGGTGGTGAATGGAAAGTAATTTGTAGAAGAATTTTTTCCGAGCACCTGATAAGTCTTAGAATCAGAAAATCATTTACAGTGAGTCTCTAGGCAGGGCGTATTTACCTTCGTTCGTCCCGTGATATTGCTTGATTTTTTATTAGAAATGTATATATAGTAATAAGCAAAATAAAAATATTGATTATAGATAAAAATGATGACACCGCTTATTACTATAATGATTTTTTTTTTGTTCACTTTTTCGAATATTAACACTGTTACGAAAAATCTTATGTACACTGCTACTCTAGGGAAATCACTTTTCATCGAAGGGAAATGACTTGCAGAAATATATAGTTAAACAAACTTAAGAACATTAAATTAACCGTTTTTTCAATGGACCTAATGCGTAGATTTCTCTATTTTAGTTCCGTTTGTCCGTCATAGCAAAGACACCAAAGTGTTCTTTAAATTTTCTCAAATTTTCTAGGAAATCTGATACCATAACATATTTTTGCACTAATATCACTTCTAACAGTATTAAACTTAAAAATTAATGTTTTCATATGTGGAAAGAATCCTTTGAAAAGAAGTTTCTTGGCAAAATTTTCTCTATCCTTGTGTCTTTTATTGACATGCCAAGCTGATTTGATGAATAGACAAGATAATACTAGGATCCAAATACCTTAGTCATCCTTTGCGATTGGAATTATGCTCAATGTTCAAGTTATGGCCACAAGTCAAGTAATGTTTCGATTGATTTTAAAATATAACATACGATTTGTCCATGATTTTATGGGACCTGGATCATTTGTACCCTTTACAAGAGGTATTTATTGGTCAAATTTTTCAACCAGAAAGGGACATGTCGTCTATTGGTTTTCCATGTAATATGACAGTCAGTCTTGAGCTTGATGTCCATAAGTCTCTTCTAAAAATGGGATTAGCCAGATCTCATCTTTTGAAATTTGAAAGTTTGGTGCCCTCTCAGGACTCGTTTGGTACGAGGGATAAGAGATAAAGGATAATTAATCCCGAGATCTTAAATTTGAGATGAGTTTATCCCATGTTTGGTTAGGATAAAATCGTTGTATGATTAATCCCGAGATTAGTTATCCTGCGATTGTAGTGTTATTTCCCCCCATAAGAGGATGAGATAATAATCCCAAAATAATTAATCGCGGGGTAATTAATTCTGGGATAACTTGTTTCCCAACCAAACGACTCCTTAGCGGTTAAGTCATACCCTACCCTGCCCTACTTTGCTCGTCTCGCCCTGTCCTGTCATGTCCCGTCCTGTCCCTGTCATGTCCCATTTACATCCCTAGCTATAGTCTTGCAATAGTTACCCATAAGGTATCTTGAATTGTAAGGTTAACTAAGAGCTACCGACTAGAATTCTTTTTAAAAAAAAAATTGTTTAGTTACATGTGGTGAAAGGGGAACAAGAATTGAGAATGGGATGAAGGACAATGTAAATTGTACTTATGTTTTGTCTCATAAAATTCTCATCGATACTATGATGATAGATTTCGCAATAATTGATTTAAACAACTTTGAGATATTGTCTGATAAAACTCTCATCTATGTATTTTTCCTTCTTTTTGTCGGTTTAAACATGTTGAGAGTAGTAGTAGTAGTATAAGTGATGTAGTTAGTGGTGTAACATAACTTATCCATAGTTTAACCAACTATAGTTAAAAGTTAGTTAGAGTGGTTATACTTGTATAAAGAGAACATGCTACTGTACAACTGTCAGATAACAGAAATGAAGATTCATTTTCTTCCCCAAATTTCTCTTCTCTGTTCTTAGCTGCGATTGTTTTCTCCTTCTAAATTCTATCTCGTTCCACAAATTTAATATGGTAGCAGAGCGATTCTAAGCGATTCTAGGGATTTCTTTGCAGAGTCGAAGCAAATTGAGAGAATCAACTTCAATTTTTCTTCAATTTCTTTCAAAATCGGGAACGA